TATATTATATTATATTCTGTTATTAAGTTTCTTGATGGGTTGTTGAGTATAGTAATATTAAGTCATAATCTGCCATTAAATCACTGATAAGTGATAACTGAAAACTATGTACCTACCTATCACGATACCTCAGCGTTCATTTTCTATGTGATATTTATAATATAAATTATGCATCACCCACAGATATAATATACAATATATTGTATACATATATCTGTGGCATCACCAGTTATATGGCCTATGAGCCTCTATAACAAGCAATGTCGAAAGCTTTAATTAACTTTTAATTTTTTCAATTGTAAACTTTAACTGTACTCGTGTTCATATTGTAAGGGCTTAACCTGAATCATAGATAGAAAGGTTTTAGAATTTTTCATTGGCATTAGATAGTAAGTAGGTACAGTAGGTACACATATTTTGTTCAACTTTTTTATTATGTTACTTAGATTTAAATGTTTATATGTAAAAACATATTGAATGGCACGAGCACAAACGGGGTTTGAATGTTTGATAATAAGCAACGCTATGCAAAGGAGCAGACCATGCTGTAGCCGTAATGCCGTCACGCTATATCAAATAATGGGTTCATCTGGAATTAGCACCAAAAMACTGGATAGCTGATTGATGACAACCACAACGATTAATATATTTCATTGTATAATTTCATTATATAGTATCATATGTGTGCTCCCCAAGCACGTCTAGTAATTTTTCATGGTCTAAAGCGCCCAATCTTAGATACCCATATACCTATTTGTCATAAATATACCTAAGTAATCAAATACAAATTTTAATTAATTTGGAAATCCAACCAATCGATAAGTTATGTACTTCGGTATTTAAGTATTTATCCAAGATTTGACAATTTTTTGGTTTAAATGATGAAATCAGAACGATTATTAGTATATAGGTATTTGTTATCTGGTGATTTTTCACTTTTTTATGGGTAGTTAATATATCTGCTACACGATATCTACGCAGTGAGTCAATAATTTATTTTTCCGCTATTAAAATTTTTTCTAAACGAAGAATATTACCAAAAGTGTAACTACAAAGGATGAAGGAGCTACTAAAGAGCTTACAAAAAAGAATGAAGTTGAATGAAGCGGAAAATCGARTCAAAATATTCAACATTTTTTCATGCTAGAAAATTGGGAGTAAATAAAATTCACGAAGACGATATTGATGATCTTTCTCCAGTATTTGACTTGACTTCCGTAAGTTTKTATTCTGTTAATATTGTATTATTTTGTACGTATATAGCTGGACTTAAAAACGCGTTTATAGCATTATAAATTTTCAAATAATAAAATAGTTTAATTCTATTGTATTTCTAAATTAGTTGATTAGATAGCTAATGATTATGTATGAGCACTACAGTGCTTTACCTGCTTTTAAAGTCTGCACATGCCTATGAGTCTAGTATTGTAAGCATGGGTGCCGAGGAGGGGCACAGCTTTCCCTGCTATTTTAATTCTTATTAATCGTTTTATTACTTGTAAAAACAACAATAAATAGTATGTGTTGTGTTATTTAGAAATTTTTGACTTCTCCTGTTCTCCTCWGTGGGTTTATATTTCTGCGGGCACCCTTGATTATTGTATAGGTAAAAACTATATAGCATATATATATGTTTATTACAGACTAATTGCATTTGAACGTCTTCGCGACAGTGAATAAAACGTTTGGCCAACTTATACGAAATATTATAATTCTTGGCACCTGACAAAAGCGCGCGTTGTGATGTACTGATGTGTATATGCGTGTAGTAATATTRTATATGTAAATAGTAGGTGGATACATATTATAATAAACCCTCGTTTATCCGATCCAAAGAATGCGTGACACGTTGTCAAAGTTTACTATGCGTTCCTTTGCTCTTATACGATTTGTCACGCGATTCCCCTGTTACCCAACCACTTCGCACGTTTTGGTCGGTATGATGCCACCCCGACGCTCGCAACAAACAAAATATGCTTTCGTTTGTCAGTTGTCATACAGCACCAAAAACTCTACAATATATCATCCGAACTTCTCTTTCTTTCCCGCAGTGAATATTATAATTTTTAATACAAGCGGAGACTAGTATAGACGACAGTACGACACACGATRACATTATAATAGATAGATAGATTACGACGACGCGTCCTATATTTTTATATACCTAGCACCTATAAAAAATATAAATTTTAACATTTATGGTGTACCTAGTTCCTACCCGTAATTGTTTATTTCCTTTGATAACTATAATAATAATTATTAATTAATAATAAATTCGTATGAATTCCGCGATATTATCTTACCTACCTGGCTACCTATATATTTTTTTATTGATTATTTTTTGCTTTTCGGGTTCAATAATCAAATAAATGTGTATAATATCATTAACCTTTTAAACAAACAAATACCTATATATTTTTCAGTCTTTGAAATTAATTTATCTAGGTATAATATMACAT